TTATATATATATATATATATATATATATATATATATATATACACTGTAATATAAATAAGTTGCAACTGATACGACAAAAATTTGGATTTAAAAAAAAATTGTATTTCTATTTATAATAGAATTTTAATTTGCAGGACAGAATTCTCTAGACCTATGTCTGAAAGCTTAAAACTGCTGATAAAGCAAACACGCATTTGTGGACTTTTTAATCAAAACCTAAGCCCTATTACATAAATATGGCTACATAAAAATGGCTACATATTAACTTAACGAGGAAAATAAGGCTATAGCCTACTCCCTAACACTTTATTGTCTTATTACATTGACTATAGGGCTATAAATATATAAAATATATAAAAATCCTGCATTTCTGTTTCTCCGGCCACTCCAAGGGTTTGCGGTGCAGGATGTGTCAGTTCAACTCAAGTGGTTGGTTGTATATTTCCTCTGATCTGTCTGCGCTTATCTTCTGCAGCCTTCACTTTGACATTTGGAGCATGTGTGAATGAGGCGCGGGGCGCGGAGCTGCCGTCCCTCAAACATCGGGGTAGGCGAAGTGACACAGCAATTCCCACGATGTATTTTTAATTCACCAGTCTCTTCTGTGAGGAATTGTCTAATATAAGTGCAGTGAGGAATTGTCTAATATAGGTGCAGTCATGACATCGGTTTGGAAGAGGCTTCAGCGCGCTGGCAAAAGAGCGTCGAAGTTTCAGTTTGCCGCGTCCTTTCAAGAACTCACCGTAGAGTGCACTAAGAAGTGGTAAGAAATGCGATTTCTCTTTTCATTGTCATGTACTGTTGTTACACACTATCGTATATGTTTAACGTTTCTTTTAAGGTTGACGTAGCTACAGTAACACCAGTCTAGAAAGCGACGCGACGCTATAAAAATAGAACGCGTCGCTCTCATTATAAGCAACAAAACTTGTGTGGTAGCAGTGATGGTGTAGTTTACTGTCAGTGTGTTGTGGTTCATGAACGGACAGTATATGAGGGCTTGTTTACTCTGGCAAGCACATTTCTGTTTGTAGTAGTGGGTTTTGTTATTAGTTTCTCCGCGTATACTTCCGTTTTACTTTCAGTTCTCCCGAACACATTCATCTTAATGGTTCCACTTGAAGCGCATCTTCAAGGACTCTTTCATTAGCAGTTATACAGACCAGTTTCATTAAGCCCTGTTTATGTGATACTCTTCAATTCTGATGCTGATGGGAGGGTCTTAGACATGTCGATAAACGAAGCTACTAACCATAGCCATTTATTTCCATTCAGTCATGCACATAGTCTTTTATTATATGTATTTCAATATTTCAAAAACATTTGTTCCGTCAAATTTGCTAGCGTTTATCTAGATTGCAGCTCTGCACACTCATTTTCTAAAGTGCAGGAGGTGCATTCTGGGGTGGTTTTATTGAAGGAGTGCTTGTTGAGCACTTGTTGATTGCTTTTCCTTTATTTTACTGTCCAACTCATTCATTAAGCACAGTTTCAAGTCAAGTCAAGTGGAGCTTTATTGTAATTCTGCTACATGTGTGGACATAGACGAAATGTTGTGTCTCGCAGGACCAGGGTGCTACGTAATAATTAAACATATATAAACATACAACAACAGAAGTATAAAAACAATTATAAACCTATTCACAGCTAACCATCTGACTATACATATACTATAAATAGTTGGCTATACATACAGGTGCATCTCAATAAATTAGAATGTCGTGGAAAAGTTCATTTATTTCAGTAATTCAACTCAAATGTTTTTGTTAAATGTGAGCCAAAATCATCGCAATTAAAAGAACCAAAGACTTAAACTACTTCAGTCTGTGTGCATTGAATTTATTTAATACACGAGTTTCACAATTTGAGTTGAATTACTGAAATAAATGAACTTTTCCACGACATTCTAATTTATTGAGATGCACCTGTACACATAATCTGAGAGGTTTATTTTTGTATACAAAACTAAATTCAAGCGTGGAAGCATTTAGATAAAAATGATTTTTAAGAAACATTCAGAAAAAAATCAGTCAGGTGTGCCAGACTTCTTATTGGCAGTGTGGCAAATCCAAACAGACCTTGCATTAGACACATAGGCTATGTCTTAATATGTTGAGGAAGGATGTGTTTCATATATAAATAGTTCTAGTGTCCTTTATTTGCTTAGTTATTAGTTGAGTTCAGTCATCTAAATCTGACATAATTTCAATGCAGTTCTCTCAATAATCCCTTTTAGCAAATAAATGCTTCTGAATTGTAGGCTGTCAATCTTGAAAATGTATTATTTTCCTGACAGTCAACATCATGTGCATTAGCATCATGTGAAAGTACATTTTTGTGGTAATCGATATTCCATCAAAACCATGTTAGTAGAAGGATAATAAGGATCCATATTCTTGTCTTTATCATAGAGAGTTAAGAGAAACATGGCTAGCTCAGAAGAATTTGTAGTATGTGGAATGGCTTGAATGATTAAAGATGTTTATTTTTGTTTTTATTTATTTTAGTGAAAACTAGGCATCAAGCCTAGAAAGCAGACAGAACTATTACATCCTATGTTGTAGACATGCCTTTATTTATTAGCTGAAACATGTTCACTTTTGAGACACTACATTGTTGTTCACTTTGACGACACTACATGGTTAGCCTTTTATATACTATTGTTCAAAAATTTATTTTTTTAACTCTCTTGCTCATCAAGGTTGCATTTATTTAATCAAAAATACAATAAAAACAGTAATGCTGTGAAATAGTATTACAATTTAAAATAGTTACCTGTTTTTGTAATATATTAATAATAATTTTTAATAATTTTTGTAATAATTGTAATATATTTTACTGCTGTCAAACGATTAATCGCGATTAATCGCATCCAAAATAAAGGTTTTTGTTTACATAATATATGTGTGTACTGTGTATATTTATGTATATATAAATGCATACACATACAGTATATATATTGAAAATATTTACATGTATATTTATATTCATATAATTTATATTATATATAATATATTTAATATAGAAACGTAACATATTTTTCTGAAATATATACATGCATGTGTGTGTATTTATATATAAATAATAAATATACACAGTACACACACACACACACACACATATTATGTAAACAAAAACTTTTATTTTGGATGCAATTAATCGTGATTAATCGTTTTGATAGCACTAATTTTAATCCGTAATTTATTCCTGTGATAGCTGGAGTCTCAGCATCATTACTCCAGTCTTCAGTGTCACATGATCCTTCAGAAATCATATGCTGATTTACAATTATTTATTTATTATTATTATCAATGTTTAAAACAGTTGTGCCACTAAAAATTTTGTGAAAACCATGACACACTTTTTCAGAATTCTAGAACTGCATTTGTTTGAAATAGAATTCTTTTGTAAAATTATAAATGTATTTATTATTTACTTTTGATTAATTTAATGCATCCATGCTGAATACAAGTATTAGTTTCTTTCAGAAATATTACTGACCCCAAAGCTTTGAACAGTAGCGTATTTCATGGAACATTCAGTAATATTAGCTGATGTTGTGATGGTGTCATCTCACTTCTGTGGCCGCTGCAGCCCTCTCTGTGGTCCATTGACAGTGTGTCTTGTGTAGTCACATGACTTAACAATGTCTGACCTCAGAACAGCTGTTTGATTCTGTCAGTTAAATGACTAGGCTAGTTCTCGAATGTGAAATGTGGTCAGTGTTACAAGACTGTCTACAAGTGAAACATTTACAATCTCTGATCATAGTGTTTGAACTGGGTTATTATTTTACATAATATAAATTTTTTTTAAAACTTTTAAGTTTAAACATTGCACCATCTAATACCTCAAATCTAAATAGTTGTTTAAAAGCATAACATTTGATTCCCTTCTTATGCAGTTTAATAGATGTAGCACAGTGTTTCAGCCACTTTATATCAATGCGTGTGCCATTTCCAAGGCTATTTCTGTGGACCCCATGACTCTGTCACCACGTCGCTTGGCCTCTTGCATCCATTCACGCAGCTGCTGCTGACACTGACCTGCAATACGAGACCCAGAGGCCCACGATTCTTTCGCTCCACCTTTCCTTTCCTTTATTATGACTCAAATGTCACGTTAACATGCGTAGACATAATCTACTGCAATCATTTGGTTTTTCATCAGTTTGAGGAAATAATTTTATAGAAGCACTTCATGTCCCATTTATTTGAATAATCAGCACTTTTCCAGGTGTACTGTTGAGTGATAGATGTTACAGGTGGGTTGTATGGGATGCCTGGAAAGGCAAAGCATGTAGCTTATATCCCAAGATTATAGGAACGACCTGCGTGATATGAGAGTTGCATAACTGCATAGTTATCTGCATGTATAAATAATAGTGTATTTTTTGTACTTTTGTGTTATTACACCGTAAATTGTGTCATTTATGGTAAGAAACGGCAGCTGTGGCTGCCAGAAATACCACAAATATGGAAGTAACATTTTAGGTTTTACTGATTGAACTTAAATATGCAGTAAGACGATGTATATTTCATTAACTGATATAATGTTAAACTACCAACCTACTGAAATACTAAAAAATGTGTTTTGTGACTTTATAACACACTGACAACCATACAAAAACACAGGCGGTAATTAGAAAGCCATGCACGTGCAGAATCAAAGTTCATCACAAGAAGATTTTCCACAAGCTGAAGTAAATACTAATGCATAGAAGCTGCACACCAAGTCATACACACAAATCCAAAACACCATCATGTAATAAAAATTAATTTAACAACATAAGATAACATAAAACCCTAATGTATATAACTGGTAGGCTACTGAAAACAAAACAAAACAAAACAGTTATTTCATAGAAAAACCATCAAATGTAGAATGTCTGTACACACTGTAAGTTATAAGGTGACTTGTTCTTTTTCACTTTTTCAAACTGAAAATTTAATAGCATTTCATTGTAAAATTACAGTTTTTCACTGTATACACTAAGGGAACTTACCATTAACCAATCAACAGGTTTTTCTGTAGCACTTTATAGTCTTTTACCATTAAAATTATGAACATTTTTAGTAGTGCGGACATTGTCACTTTTGTATGTGTTCAAAACAAGCGCTGAAGCATTGCTGTTGAGAATTAACATAAAGGTATTTGGCAAACAGAAAAAGTGGTTAAAAATGAGACATTTGAGCCAAAAACACTTCCATGAGGAAATGGCATAGTGTATGTAAGTTCAACAGCTGATCTGACCATGTTATTGTAAGGAGAGTCCACACCCTCCTTTGAGAAAAGAGAGATCAGTTTGACGTAAACACGCTGGGGAAAAGGAGAGCAAGGCTCAGGTTATATTTCTCAGAACCACACTTAAAGGGATAGTTCACCCAAAAATGAAAATTCTGTCATTAATTACTCGTGCTTTATTTATTTATTAATTACCCTCGTGTCGTTCCAAACCCGTAAGACCTTCGTTCATCTTCGGAACACAAATTAAGATATTTTTGATGGAATCTGAGAGCTCTCTGACCCTCCATAGCCAGCAAGGGTGCTACCACGATCAACGTCCAGAAACGTAGCAAGGAGATCGGTAAAATAATCCATGTGACATCAAGGGTTCAACCATAATATTACGACGCTACGAGAATACTTTTTGTGTGGAAAAGAAAAAAAAAAACGACTTTATTCAACAATTCGTCTCCTCCTGTAATACTCACCCTAGCGCCATTTTGGAGAGTATCCACTGAACGCAAACAGCGTATGTTGTTCTGTGTCAGCTGCGCCACGCAGATACGTTTTCTACATTGTTTGTGCTTTGATTTGAACGAAAACAATGTATCCGTGTGGTGCGGCTGACACAGAACAGCATACGCTGTTTGCGTTCAGTGGATACTCTCCAAAATGGCGCTAGGGTGGCGCGGAGGAGACGAATTGTTGAATAAAGTCGTTTTTTTTTTCTTTTGCGCACAAAAGAATGCATCAGAATGCATCAAAAATATCTTAATTTGTGTCTTACGGGTTTGGAACGACATGAGGGTGAGTAATTATGACAGAATTTTCATTTTTGGGTGAACTATCCCTTTAAGGGAAACCCTCATCACACCCCACTCTGCTAATACTCAGTTACTGAAGCTTACAATTGACTTGCACTACTTATTAACACTAATATGTTTTATGGTTTGTATAAGGTATTTGCTATTACTATTATTTTATATGTTTTACCCGAGGTCCATTTATGTAAAATTAGGTAAAAATAATTTCACTGTGAGTATAGAATGAATCCATTTTGTAGCTTTGTTTAAATAAATGGTGTTTTTGGACTCTGGAGGTTTGAGATGAAAACTACAGTATGTTTTCATAGTACAGTGGACTTTTATCTCAAATGATTCCTCATGATGTGACTCCTTTAATCTAATTTTTTTTTTCAACTATATGCTGTGCTTCTCCAGAATGTTAGCATGGACATATTTTAAGATGTGTCACATGTGTTGGATATTGACCCATCTGCACCTCATGATGAGTCTCTCAGATACTTTTTTAAATAGCAGAAACATATTTTGTTCTGCGATTGCTCACATTATGCACAGTGTTAGCCTGTTAGAACAGGAACAAATAATTTCACTTGATCTTAAAGAAGCTCCAGCATTCCACGCAATGAAGCCAGCTAATGCTTTCCTGCATGTGGGTCAGATGAGTAACCTAATAACCAAACTGAGTGCGCATGATAGTAGTCCCCTTCTTCATGCTAATGGAGACTAACCTCCTTAAAGCAGTTCCCTAGGGAATTTTAAGTGAAAGTCCTAGTTATGTTTTCTGAGTTTCATGAATCATTTCAAAATTCAGTACTTTGTGAAGAGAAATACAGCTTCATGCAATGTTACATGCTCACTAAACAAACTAAATAATAGTATATGTACTTTCAGTGTGGAACAGGAGCTATGATGTTTTTGTATTGTAATGTGCTATTGTGTGTTATTTGTCATTCACAGGCAGCCAGACAAACTGCGAGTGGTTTGGACCAGACGAAACAGACGCATATGCAGCAAGGTAAAAGGAGGATGTGGGTTTTTAGTGTTACTGTTCACACATTTATAGCTTTCAAATACTATATAAAGATGCAGCTGTGATTAGGTTACCTTGACTTTTACTTATCTAGAATTGCTCATATTATTCATATAGAATTGCAGATGTTTTAATAGCTACTGGAATAGTAAAGTTATTAAAGTTAAGTAAAGCTGTAAGTGCAGAACAACACATAATAGTTTTTTTTTTCTCATTTAAGGTTATGATTGGATAGCGTTTTGCTGTTAAATCAGGACGTGTTCTCTAAATTGAATTTTTACAAATTTTACAGAGGAAGGAAAATAAATCTCAGCATATTAGTATCATAAGTAACCTCACAGAAAGCAGAAAGAACAAATACACATAAATCAGTTGGTAGCAAACTGGCAGTCTGATGTATTAATAATTTCAACACACGTAGTTCTGCTCATATCACAAATACAGTGAGATTATTGCATTAATCAGATGAAGCCTACGTTATTATTAATGTGTGTTTTTTTTAAAGAAGAAATGTGCATAATCGTCATCCAGTCAGTTTTCATGTTAAGACTTTGTTTTTTCTTTGTTATCATCTTTATTAGCTTCATGGCTGGCAACCAGGTATCAAGAACCCATACAGGGGGACTGTGGTTTGGCAGGTTCCTGAGAGTGTGGACATCACTGTCACTCTTTTTAAGGTGAATATATGATATGATATAAAAAGAAATCCATGTACAATACAATTTAAAAGTAAGATATTTGAGTAAGATTTTATTTTTATTTTTGAAAGACATTAATAGTTTTATTTAGCAGTTATGATTTAAATGATTAAATCTTTTATATTGTTCCAAAAAAAAAAAAAACATATTTCAAATAAATGCTGTTCCTTTAAACTTCCTGTTTATCAGACAATCTTGAAAAAAAATATTTTCCAGAAAAATCTTAAGCAGCACAACTGTTTTCAACATTAAGCACCAAATCAGCATATTACAATGTTTTCTTAAAGGTCCCATATTGTCAAAACTGAAATTTCCTGGCTTTTTTCACGACTACTGAGGTCTAGGGGCTATTTAACTACCATATGAGTTTCAAAACAGTCAGTCCACAGTAAAATTCACACAGCCTGCTTAAAGTTCTAGCTATTTTTCACGAACCGTTGTGACTTCCGTAAAAAGTTGACGTCAGAACTACAGTCACCGCCTGCAGTCCCCACCCCGAGCACCGCCCACCGTCTCACTCTCCTTTTGCCAAACCCCCAGACAACATCGCGTCCATGCTTTTGCTGAGCAACAACAACACGGAAACATGTCGAAAAGGTTAACTTTAACCACGAAACCAGATCAGCCGACCTGTAACGTTACACTCTCACTCAAAGGATGGACGATCTGACAGGATTGTTACTATGAGGTGGATCACATCTAACCTGTATAGTAAAGACAAACTCACCGTGTCTATCTAGTCATGATGAAGATGTATATATATTTCAATTTCAGCAGGCAACTATTTTTACAGCTACACTATTGTTCCAGCCAACATCACAACAATGTATATACAATTACAAATGATTATATATAAATCGTCAGTTTGTTGTTTTACACATATGCACACAGACATTATTTCATACACGACATAGTCGTGAGATGCAAGAAACAGACATATGGCAAGAAATCTGTAGACGCGCCCATAACAACAAAAGACAATACTTTATTGAACCTTTTCTGATAAGAAGTGTGCGCTGCAAACGTGAGCATTTTTGACAGCGTTTCTGTCCAGTCTGCTCGTTTTATCGCATTTAACCACAGCTGTCGTCGGTTTTTTGTCTGGCAGTGCCAGGAGATATGCGATCAAATTTTTAATTTGAGGCCGTTTAAAAAACATTTCACAATATTACTGTATTTTTAATTAAATAAATGCAGCCTTGGTAAGCATATAAAGACTTCTTTCAAAAACATAAATAATCTTAGCCAACCCCAAACTTTTGAATAGTAGCAGATAATTTGTGATACGGTGCTTAAATATGCAAGTAATAAACTGATAAGAAGTTGTAAACATGAATTTTGACATTTATGTTATATAAATATTATTTAAGTACCTGTACTCCATGTCAACTCCATACAATTTTCACTTTCCCTTTAGGATCCAAATGCAGATGAATTTGAGGACAAAGACTGGACCTTCATCATAGAGAATGTGAGTCTGTCTACTCTGTAATCTCAACCTGTTTATTAAAGGTGCTGCTAGCAATTTGAGCTGTTTGCTAACCTCAGCCACAAAAGCATTTCTGTTTTAGTTAAAAAGTGTGGGCCACCCCCTGACTCCTTTTCTCCATTTAATAAAGGACTCTCACAGAAATGGGTCAAGTTGTACATTTTATGTATTGTTCTTGCTCTTTTGCATTATTTTATTATCAAAAGACAGTGTTTTTGAAAAAGCATGTCTTGAATTATGTTGTGATGGCTTCATCGATTTGGCAGTACACTACAGTTTGAAAGTACTGTGCTCTAACATCCACAGGAAACAAAGGGCCACCGAAAGGTTTTAGCGTCAGTGGATGTGAACATGAAGAAGTACACAAGCGTGACCCCGGCTCAGTTTGACCTGGCGCTTACACTAAAGCCTCTGTCTGTGAAAGTGTTGGATGCCACACTTAAACTCACACTGTCCTGTGTCTTCCTGAAGGAGGGCAAAGCTACGTGAGTTCAGATGTTTTCAATGTTCCAGATGTGTTTCTCTAGATCTGTGTAGTGATGTGGAAGCATCAGTCCAAGCAGACGACACATACAGAATCAACTACATTTTATTTACTTTACTGATCTATAGTCTGTTTCAGTAGGCCTTCAATTATCTTCACTAGTGCTGTATTCTGTGTTGTGCATTCAGTGATGAAGACATGCAAAGTCTGGCGAGTCTGATGAGTTTGAAGCAGTCCGACATTGGAAACCTGGATGACTTCAATGACAGCGATGAAGAGGAGGACAGAAGAATGAGTGCAGCAGTGAAAATGGCCACAGCAGTAATAGGTAATATTGACATATACTCTCAGTATTAAGTACACATACTACAAAACTTGAAGCTGAAACCAAAGAAACAGGTATTTCCTGTTCTGTGTTTTCCTGGCGTTGTGTTGTTTCCTGGTTTTATGAAAATTGATGTAGATGTAGATAACCTGGTGATTGTTTGCTGTTTTTAGTTGTTTGGCTGTATTGAGTTTATTTAATGTTTACCCAGTTTAATGCTGTATTTCAGAGTCATTTAGCAGACACTTTTATCCAAGCGACTTACAAATGAGGACAATGGAAGCAATCAAAATCAACAACAGAGCAATGATATACAAGTGTATATTTAGGATTGATTTTAAAGTACTTTTACTCGTTTATAAATCACTCAATGGCCTAGGACCTAAATACACTGCAGATATGCTCACTGAATATAAACCTAACAGACCACTCAGATCATTAGGATCGAGTCAGTTAGAAATACCAAGGGTTCACACAAAACAAGGGGAGTCCACTTTTAGTTATTTTGCCACCCGCAGTTGGAACCAGCTTCCAGAAGAGATCAGATGTGCTAAAACATTAGTCACATTTAAATCTAGACTCAAAACTCAACTGTTTAGCTGTGGATTTATTGAATGAGCACTGTGCTACATCCGAACTGATTGACATTGAACTTTTTTTAAAGAATAGATTTAGAATAGAGAGTGCTAGAGTTAGAGGGTTAAATTTAGGTTTGATTTAAAGGTAGCTTCCATGTGGTGAGCCATAAAACATAGAATCTGACAATATTATCTCTCATTCACGTTGTAGATTTGTTTATTTATTTATTTTTGGTTATTTTTTTCTCAACTGCTATCTTGCTTTCTTTTTCATTCTTTGTCTGTGGCTCTATTCTTCCTGTATGTGGTCAGCTCCTCTTCCTCCTGCTAGGAGAATACATGACAAAGCCTGGAGACCTGCTGTAGACACAGGTCCCTCTGACACAGGTAGATTACTGAATGCTCTGGCTTCTTTTTCCACTCTCTTTCTTCCCTTGACACTGGAATTAATATTTTATTGATATTGATAATATTCAAATGTATTTGTATTCAAAAAATGTATCCTGCTCAATTTGTATCATGACGGTTTTAGGTTGGTAAATACTTGCATCACAATTGTGGGACACTTATTAAGAAATATTGATAGTCCTAACTGAATATTTGACACTGTGATCGGCTGATATTTATTCATTTGCATTATTTGTTTTTCAGTGAGCCCAATGCACCAATGTATAAATATAAATGTATAAATAATGCACTTGGACATTTTAGTTCAGTAACTTTTAATATGTATGATTATATTAATTTATCTATTTTTGTATATTCTAAATTTATATATGCATACTGTATATATGTATATGTATTAAGATTATTTTTTCGCATTCTTACACATTAAATTATTGATATATAATAAAAATATAAATAAATATAATAATAAAATAATTATATAAATAAATATAAATATTGTGTATATTTTATATTTATATTATTTTATACATAAACCATGGATATTTTGGTGCACATTTGGTGTTTGTACTGGCACCATTTCACCCCTGTTATTATTATTGTTATTATGCACTCAAGTGTAAATTACTTTTGTTGTGCAAATTGAACATAATGTTACTACTTAAACTGGTGGAAACATCTAAAACCCAAAACCAGAAATTGAATAGTAGAGATCATGAATATCACAAAAAACATTTTCACACACACACACACACACACACACACACACATATATATATATATATATAT